GTGCGGAAGGCGGAAGGCGGAAAGTGATTGAATAAGGGGAAGGGGGAGCGCAGCAGTTGGTGGGTATGTGTGAAGTAGCTATCTGTGCTTAATTCACGGCTTTCCAAGTTAAATGAGTTCGTTTTGATGTGTGCATTCTACTTGCGACGAGAATGTATGGCGTGAAACCTTGGGTACAAGTCACATTTCTCATCCATATCACACCGCGCGGCGGGGTTATCTTCGTGGCCAGTTGGGCATGATGTCGCGGGTTCTCGTGTCCGAGAGCAGACCAACCCAACTTTGATGGCTGTCTTTCAAGAGCGTGGTCGTCGACACGTCTCAGCATACAGCTTTGTCGAAGCTGTCCCCAAGCCCGCCCGGTTACACACGGCCTTTCAGAGGGACCTTGCCTCCAGGACGCGGTCCACGCCCGTTTTTGCAGACCCAGTCTCGCACATCATCATTGGGATGGATCACATGTCGATTTCGGCCGAAAACCCACTCTACCTGACGGTACTGAGAGCATACTCTTATCCTCATCCCAGCAACTTTGGGCGGCTTGGAACGAGAGGGGGCGCGAAATGGGAGTCCAGCGTGTGACGAAGCGAAGTCCGTCCGCGGCATCGTTACCCGACCTTGCTTCCGATTTCCGCGGACGCGTGCGGACGGAGGTGAGGGCCCAAAAGCCACAAAGGCGCGAGACAAGGGGTTGTGGGTGGGTGCTCGGTGCGTGGCCGCGTCGGATTAGGTCAGCACAGGACTGAGCCTCAAGCCCGTCTTCCCCAGATTTCATTCCCCCCCCCTCCCATTCAACGTCAGTTCGCCCGCCAGAAGGCAGGTGGCGGGCGATGCGGATGACCATCGGTGCGCGCTCTGGCGTGCGCTCCGTCATCGGGGCTGCATGGCATGGGTCACGTCACTACCAGGCTCAAGGATGAAATTAAATGGTTCTTTTTTTCTTCTCTGTCTCGCAGTCCATTGAATTTTGCCAGACAACAATTCGGAATTCGGCACGCTGGGGTACTCCACGGTTGAGAGGCGAGGAGGCGCGCACGTGGGCTAACCGTTGGGTGCAGTGGCATCCAAGGGGTAAAAAGAGGCGCGAGCCAAACTGGGACCCCCACAACGACACCATCACATCGACACCCTGTCGCAACGCCCTGTGGTGCAGGGTTCATCATTCCTGATTATGAAGAGAGGGGAGAGGGAAAAGTCGGGTGCATTGGGGGAGGCCGCTGCGTGGTTATTCCATCGCTGCTCCATTCCCCTACCACAGCTCCGAGGAGGATCATAGCCAAGTGGAACATGACGCGAGAGGCTTGAAGAAGCTCCTGCAGACGCATAAGCCGTCGGGCGATGGCTGTGTCGGCGAAGGGTTTCCAACCCTTGAGATTGGAATGTCAACGATAGGCTACTCGACTTGACCGAGCTTTCACGATGCACGATGTTGATCTGGGGGTTTGGTTTGTCACGGAGTGACCGACGTGGTGGTGTAGGTGATGTGAGAACAAACTAGTCGAGGGGTGGTCCGGTGATGACCTCCAGGTGGCGATCCTGCCTGCGCGTCACAGAAGGAGGGAGACACAGGCTGCGGTGCGTCACTTCGAGAACTTGACCTGGTGAATCATGGATCTTCAGCCTGCATGGTATCGGCAGAACCTCAACACACTCCTCGTCTATTGATTAGAATCAGCCAACAGCTGACCGATTCAGCTGATCTCGCCTTGCCTCATCCCGCCTGTCGCATGAGCCAGTAAGCTCGCAACCACCATGTCGGGTCATCCTCTCCACAACATGTCGTGGGGTGCAGTGCAGTAGTGACCCCAAGGAGGAAACACATTACTCCCGAGATGTCACTGTGTCTCGCCTTGCGCCATCGAATACTACCTACCTTGGTTTAATGTCTGTGTTGTTGACTACCACTACCGAATCACATCGGACGAAGGATCGGCCATTGTCGCTACCATATCGAACCACGCTCGAGAGCCGACGGCAAAGCCAGCGGCTGCCATGGTTCGGTCATTCCATCCAACCGAACTCCCGTTGCGCTTGTACATTGGCCCCTGCAGGCGAAGTCTGATGAGAACTTCCAGAAGGCCTGTCCCGGTCCAGGCCCGAGAGGAAAAGGAACACCTGAGAATATGCACAAGGCTGCCGCTGCCACACCCCCAGCGGTTTCCCCTCTGTGGAGCGTATGCGGGTGGTGCTATTGACAGCCTTCAGGGGAAGGGAGAAAAGTTTTCTCACTGGCCCTGGCTCAGAAGGTTTTGTCAGGTTGAGACGGATGGAAGGCGTCAGTAGTCGTTGTCCAGATGGGCCCTTGGTTGGTGATGACTTCAGTTCTGTCAGTCTACAATGTTTATCGCAATGGATACAAATTGGGATGAGTACCTAGTTGGCTTACAGTCCGCTGAGCGAAGAGCAGGTTGCGGCGAGATTGATAGGACTGGAGCTGCGCAGGACTCACCGAGCCGCGTCAAGTCAACGACTGGCGGATCGCTGCCTCGGCGGCCACCGCTAGACTCCGTAGTTGTAAGAGACACAACTGAGCTTCATCCAATCTTTCTGCCTCGGCGAGCTTGATGCAGGGATAATTAGGCACAAATGTATACCCTTACATCTCATGGCTGAGGTGGATCTCGGAGACCTTGCAACGATGAGTGTAACTGTACATCGTTTACTGGAAGGGGAGGGACCGGTCAGGACACCAGGGATTGTCGTGTGCCAGCCTAGAGAGGTTAGTCCGGACGATAGCGCTCGTTCTAGACAGGTCAGGTCGCTGCGGTAACTCGGTGGTGATGCTCTTTCAACAGTTCTGCCATCTCGCTAGACTTTGTGCGCTAGGCTAAGATGTCACGGTCTCGTGATGTTGATACTCTGGTCGAACAAGTTGACAGAAAACAGAAACTTGCTTCTTGGACAAACTGGTACTTGGTACACTCTCTTGGTGGAATCCAACGCTGAAGTTGCAGACCAAGGTACTGTAGGTGATATGCGTACCTCGTACCTCCCCCCGCATGTAACCCCCCACGGCAAAGGCAGGGGATTGTTACGCCCGTCACAAGACACCTTTACCTAATTTCTGGGAGAGATATGGAACAATTCTCGGAAGGCCGACTGTGCGGAACCTCATTTTTGCAGGGCCAACCAACTGCCAATTGAACATTGATCCTCAGATCTGTCTTGTATCGAGGTCGAAGGCACCTAATGAATCCTACCGCGGTTCCCTGCTGGCGGCTTCAGAAAGAGTATGTAAAGGAGGCTTTCCAGGACACCTCTTAGTCAGGGACCTTGTAACTGGCTAGCGGGGGATGGGAGGAGTGACGGCAGAACTAGACCGAGAACCGTTAGGGGCTTCGTTACCTGGCTGTACCAACTCACTCACCTCTCTTTGCAACGTTGTGAAATGGCGTGTTCCACACTTCGCGCCATTTCGGCTCATTCAGAGGAATTCTCTCCCACCGTCTGCTGCTTGTCTCGTGCTTAACTGTTGCTCGACCTCCGGTCAATCAAGGGTACTCAGGTGAGGTTGGTTAGCATAGAGGGGCTGTCGGCGGACGAGGTGCTTCCCCGGTGCAGCTGCAGGGCCCACCGCGGCCGCAAGGTATACGGTAGCATGAGCAATCGAGGGGAGTTGATGACCTGAGTCGAGGGCACCGCCGACTGACGGCCCTCCTGACTCCCTGTCCCCTGTTCACCAGCATATAAATCGAGTGTTGAGGAGCCTGTGGGACACACGACCCGCTCGCGGCGGAAACGTATTGACGCTTAGCTGACCAGACGACGAGCGAGCCTTGCCTGGACAAACCGAGGCATACTGGACGAGATCGACTCAATATTGGTGAGCCAAGTCAGTTTGAAATGGCGAGAAGCAAGGGGAGAACCAACGTTTCGTGACGCGTCCGCGTCCGCGAACGGCATCATTCCGAGAAGGGAAGTTGGGAAGCATTGTGTGTTAAAGCTGGCAAAAAAAGGAGACACAAGCGCGGAGACCCCCCTTAGAACATAGTATCTGAACCTTTGAGGCCGAATGTGCCTGAGCGGCCGGTGTCGAGCCGCCATGAGCCAGGCTTGCCAGGCCCTGCAATAACCCTGAAGACTGGGCTGGAGAGAAAACGCTAGCCACCCGTGCACGGATCAAGCTCGATATGGTGGTGGTGAGCGAGGTGGGCTGGTGGGGTCGAGTGTCCCGCTAGAGAAGCAGCGTCGGGACCATCTGGCAGCCCTCTGGCCAGTCACAGTCAGTGAATGCCTCGAGAGCCACCCGCGGTTACCCCCACTACGATGCGACTCCTCTTCCCAGTCGCTCGCTCTCCTGCGCCTTCTGCTGCTCACTGCGACGCAGATAGTTGTTAAGGTCAGTTGCACCTGCCCAGTGTGCTCCGTCCCTGATGGTTCCTGCCCATCTGCATCACGACGAACCGGCGCGCCAGTCACGACTTGTCTCGTTTCATCTCCCGCCTTCCTCTTCATTCTCAAACAACTCATCTCAACCGACTCACCTTCAGCGCACCGAGCCAACGCCAACACTATCTTGACCTGAATCCGTCTCCATGGCGCTCTAAGCCGCCTTGGCCCTTTGCAGCAAGGCCCTATCTGACTCTCCCGTCCCACCAGCCACCTGCCCACCCACCCGTCTCACAACTCACTGCCGACCGCAAGTCCGTCGTAGTCGCGACCCCGCTGATTTGGCGTCGCCGCTGGAACCATCTGTGATTCTGACTTTTCCTCATCCCTCTCACACTCTCTCGGGCGACCTGTTGCGCACCTCTCTCGCTCAATCGCACAACCGTTCGGTAGGCATGCTGAAGCAGCTTCCGAAGTGGAATTAATCGCAAAACCAAGCCGAAGACAACTCGGGCCTCATTCATCGCCATTCCCCGACCGAAACCGATTCTCGGCACGATACGCCTGCCTCGTGCACAGCAAACACCGGCACCCACAGACCCGTCCGGTCACTCACCACTCGCAGACTCGTCGCAATCGCTCGATCACGCGCCCGCGTCTCGGCTGACGAGATGTCGCCAACTGGGATGGCCATGATGGGCGGGACAAGCTGGACTACCCAGGACCAGACGCTGCCTTCGTCACACGATGACGACTTTCAACAATTCCTTGACATGGGCGGCATGGGCAACCTAAGTGAGCCGCTTGGGTTCGACTTTCACGACTTCCAGAATAGCGCCGACTCCTCCATGATGCCACAGAATGGCCGCGACCAGCTAGACACCCAAATGGGTGGCACCGATAGCGCCATGGCTATGGCCAGACCCGACCCCTCTGTTCGCTCTGTCCAGGACCAGTTTGCTGCCATGAGCACTGCTGCCTCTCACCCCTCCATTACCGCACAGATGATCCAGCCGGTGCCGACTCCCACTGACGCCATGGCTGAGATTGACGCGCAAATCCAGTTTTTGCAGCAGCAGAGGATGCAGCAGCAGCAGCGACAAATGCACGAGCACCAAGCTCATCAGGTTCAGCAGCAGACTTCATACTACGTCGGCCATAATCCTGTCCCCCCCACCCCGCAAAGTCTTGAGATGCCGCCGAATGGCAACCACTACTACGCCCAGGAGCAGGCGCAACAGAATGTCTTCGACAGCAGGTATCAGCGCATGAAGGAGCAGCAAGATGTGAGTTGGCTCTCGACCTTATCATGCCGTCGTGTGACTAACCCCCCTGGAGATGGCCTTTACCCCCCTTGTGTCTCCGGCCGTGACACCCCTTGATCCTCAGTTCCAGATCGACCCAACCTTCACCATGCCGGGCTCATACTTCAGCCCGCTTACCTCACCAGCGCTTCATGCCCAGAGTGAGTCCAACTCGCCATATGATCACCGTAATTCCTTTTCGAACCACACTTCGACACACAACTCAAATCACAACTCCCCTGGCGAAATGGATGTTGAAACCCCGATCGCGGCAGTCCCGCCACCCGTGGTTGACCTCTCAAAAAAGGCTCGGAAAAACAACGCCTCACGCGCGAAGGGTAAGGGCAGTGTGCGCCAGTCTCCAATCTCTAAGCCGATGAAGAAGAAGACGGCACCAACCCCGAAGATGGTTTCGCAAGTGCTTGCAGAGATGCAAGAATCAAACGAGGAATGTTCCGATCAGATGCTTCCACCTACATCTCTACCAATGCCCATGAGTAGCGAGGAGAGCGAAAATGCTTCCGTCTCACCCGAAAACCTATCCGATATGCCGCCACCGCCGCCGCCCGCTCACAATAGGCTCTCAAGATCGCCCTTGAACGGGCCGCAACATGCCCAGCAGGCCGCCTCAGCTATACCAGCGCACGTGCAAGAAAAGCCTTCGCCCGCAACGCCAGCGTCGCTCATGAAGCTACCGTCATCCAGTGCAAATGGAGGCGCTGTGTCGTCCAATGCGCAAACGATGGGCGCACCTGAGCACATCGAGGACTTTAAGCTGCCGGAATCAGCAAACTTCCCCAAGAGCAGGCTGACTCCTTTGGATACAAACCAAACTCCGGTACAATCACCACTGGAAGCCAGCTCGGCGAAAACCGCGTCTTTCCAACCCCTGCCGTCCCCTATTTTCCACAAGCCCTCGGGCACAGCTTCAGCAAACCAGAGCCCTCGCATCATCCCCGGCTCGACGGGCCCAGCTCCCAGGAGGACGCCAAATCTTGCACCGCGAGGAAGCAAAAAGAGGGCCAGCATCAGCTCTAGCCAAGTCTCGCCGGCACTGTTGCCTAGGATATCTCCGTCCATCAAGCCGCTTCTGCCGGGCACGCCCGGCGGCATGTCTGCTGAGGACACGGCGTCCCTTCTCCTGACATCCAAGTCTAATTACCAGAACATCCTTGAGGGCACCGTCGTGCCGGGCGTGTCGTACCCAACGTCGCTTTCGACGAATCTCACGTCCAAGAGGACGTCGCACAAGATCGCCGAGCAGGGCCGGAGGAATCGCATAAACACGGCACTGCAAGAAATCGCGACAATGCTGCCCAAGTCTGCGCTGTTGGAGATCAGCAAAAGCGAGAGCGAGAGTGCCGACAAGAAGGACGGCAAAGGGGGTGCGACGCCGAACAGCAAGGCGAGCACGGTCGAGATGGCTATTGACTACATCAAGCAACTGAAGCAAGAGGTGGCCGATGCGAACAAGCGAGCGGAGGAGGCAGAACGCAAGCTGGAGCTCAAACAAGCCTCACCGCCAGGTGAAACGAGGTAACGACGAGGGGGGAGGGGCACAAGATACCAAGGAAATATCATGAGGTGTGGTGGAGACGGTCAGCGGCAGTATCACATATGTTTTCCACCTAGTAATTAAAGGTGCACGACACTCGAAGGGGCAAGGCGTTGGGGATGCCACCTAGATCTACGACGGGCAAGAATTGAGCATCAGAGGATGTTATTTGTCACGAAGAAATAAACAAAAGATCTATCCTGCAGCGTTGTGTGGGGTATCAAGAGTGAAAAGAAAAAAATAAGTCTACTCGATGTCGTGGAAAAGCGGAAGCGTCAAGCGAGGAGGGAGGAGGGAGGAAAATGCTTCCGCAGGCGCCGCTTGGGCCGGAGACCCGCACAATTATTTTTGCTCGAGCACGTCGGCGTCTAGCTGCTCTATGACCTCGATGACGAGCTTGAGGCTGTCCATGAAGGAGTTGACGGCGACGCGCAGCATACGGTTGGTCGTGGCCTTGTAGTGAACCTCGAGGACGGAGGAGGCGGCGTCGTCGGCGGGCTGGGACTTGACGACGAAGGCGCGGGAGACGAGCGGCGAGAGCTCCTTGTCGACGGCGAGGGCCTGGTGAGCTACGGCGGCGAGGCGGTCGGTGGGGAAGGGGATGGTGAGGGTGCTGGAGGCGCAAGAGGACCGATCGTCAGTGTGTTGTTGTGAAGGGAGGCGGGGGGGCAGCAGGTGCGTGGACGTACAGGGAGCAGGGAAAGTCTGGATCGGTAGCGGTTGCCATGTTGTGCTGTGTGGCGGTTGGTGCGAGGGACGGCGCGAGGGTCGGCCTGGTGTTGTGGTGGAAAGCGATGTTGCGGTGTCGCTGGGAGGGGGAGGGGCAGGGAAGCAGGGCTGTCGCCAAAATGGTCAAAGTCCTGGGGTTGTCTTGGTGGTGAAGACCCCGCGGTGGACGATGTAGTCAGTGAGTGCAGGGAGGTGGTTGTCTTCGATTGGGTCAGGGTCAGATGGATGGGGAAGAAGGGTCCCACTGTTTGTGTGGCTTGCATGCAAGGCTGTTGTTTGTGTGGGCGTTGCTGAGGCGGTGCATGACTGGGATGATCGACCCCTTGGTGGGCTCCGGGTTTCATGGTGGTCGGTGGTCGGTGGTCGGTGGTCGGTGGGCAGGTGCGAACAGCTGCGGGGTTACCACGACAACCAAGGCCCCAGCCAACCAGACAATAACAGAGGACCCAGGCCTCTCCAGGGGCCCGGAATCAAAATAACAGTCCCAAGTGCTCGGCCTCGTACAAAAACATCTTCTCAGCCGTCATCGCATGCCATCGACACTTTCAGGATTCCCAAACTCCAGCTCCCGGCCTTTTGCATGATATCCCCCTCCCCTTTCGCTTCACTTGCTAGGCGCCCAGTGTTCCTTAGATCAAGGTCAACATCAGAACCACAGGCGACCAGTGTTTTTGTTGTTGTTATGCAATCATCGACCGCCCAACGCTTATCAGCCTGACCGCCCAAGACTTGCAGCGCAACTCGCACGCATTCCTGCCTCGCCAACCGCAACATCGCCACCTCCTCATTCTACCACCACCCGCCACCCGCCGACGGTAACAACAACAACATCAGGCCTGACATATCTACTGCCGGACTTCAGTAGCGACCGCCGCTGCGATTCTTGCGCTTTTGCACCCGCTCCAGCTTCCAGCATTAGCGACACGACACCTCCTCTCCAGTCCTTGCTGAGCGAGCCCGCGTCGTCAAAGAAAGCCACGCCCACCCCGAAGCAAGTACCGCCAACGATCCGATGGCGCCTTCTTCCAGATCTGCCTCCCACAACCTGGGACAGGTCGTCGAATACATCCCTGGTACGTCTTCCTGGTCCTCGTCATCGACAGCTTCGACCTCTCCCCACGTCCACACGCAGTGGTGCCACCCCGAGCCATGTCGCATTGTTACCCGGTGCTCCGCGGCTAGCCTCGCAGCTCGCAAACCATCGACATGAGTCTCCGCCCCATCAGCCCCGAGGCTTCCATCTCTCCATTTCATTCCCAATATCCATTGTATCTTGGTATAGATGCCCCCTTCACGTTTCTGACATGCATCGCAGACCGCCTCTACCTCGCCGCTTACATCCATCCTCCCACGGCCGACACACTTTTCCCCTACCCTGAGCCTCTGCAGTCCCCGAGGAAGAGGTCGCAACGCGCTGCTGAGGGCCCCAAGCCTGTTTCCGGCACCCCCAAGCCGGCGCCCTTCTACTTCACCGTTGACGACACCCTCCTGTACAACGCTTTCCACCACGACTTTGGCCCGCTCCACATCGGCCACCTGTACCGCTTTGCGCTGCACTTTCACGATGTGCTCGGTGCCAAGGAGAACAAGGACCGGCCCATTGTCTTCTGGAGTCGGGCTGACCCGCGCAGTATGTTCACTCACCTCGTCGCCGTCCTCTAAACCGCACTCGTTGCTAACATGTCTGTCCTCCAGGTCGTGCCAATGCTGCCTGCATGCTCGCGTGCTACATGGTCCTCATCCAGGGATGGCCACCTCACCTGGCCCTTGCGCCCATGGCCCAGGTCGACCCTCCTCTGATGCCCTTCCGTGACGCCGGATACAGCCAGGCTGATTACGGCATCACTGTACAGGACGTTGTCTACGGTGTCTGGAAGGCCAAGGAGGAGGGGTGCTGCGCTCTCGACAACTTTGACCTCGACGAGTACGAAAAGTACGAGAGGGTCGAGCATGGTGACTTCAACTGGATCTCGCCCAGCTTCCTCGCCTTCGCCTCCCCTCAACAGACCCCCATCGCCAAGATCCCCGAGGGGACCCCAGAGTGGGACAAGCTGCCCACCACCATCGCCGAGGTCGATGCTCACGCCACGCTACCTGTGCCTTTCAAGAATGTTCTCAAGCACTTCAGCGAAAGGGACATTGGGCTCGTCGTCCGCCTGAACTCACAACTTTACTGCCCCTCGTACTTTGAGGCACTGGGCATCCAGCATCTCGACATGATCTTCGATGATGGCACGTGCCCGACCATGCCGACGGTTCGCAAATTCATCCGACTCGCACATGAGATGATCACCGTCAAGAAGAAGGGCATTGCTGTCCACTGCAAGGCTGGTCTTGGAAGGACAGGCTGCTTGATCGGTGCCTACCTGATCTACCGCCACGGCTTCACGGCGAATGAGGTCATTGCCTTTATGCGCTTCATGAGGCCTGGCATGGTTGTCGGGCCCCAGCAGCACTGGTTGCACATTCACCAGGGCACATTCCGTGAGTGGTGGATCGAGGAGCGTGTCGAACGCAAGTTGAGGAAGGAGATGGCGGCCGCCGCTCATGCCACACCCAGCACGCCCATTCGTGCCATGCAAAAGGCTTCGCTCCGTAACCCCCAGGCAACGACGCCGTCTCCTCAGCGAAGTGCCTCGAACCGTACTCCCCTCAGCGAGGTCAACGATGAGCGCGGTAATGTTGCCGTTCACGAGGACTACCTCCCCGCCCCTACACCAGGCCAGCCGCGCAAAACCGGCCGTGCTGACCGCCACCACCCTTACTCGCGTGCCCCTTCGTACTCGGCCACACTCGAGGAGGAAGGCGGCGTTGAGCACGAGACTGAGGTCCTCTCCGTTCATAGGCGATCCAACGCCGGCGAGTCGGATGAGGAGATTCACCTCCGCATGCGTGCGCACCGCAAACCTTCCGAGTCACCAAGCCGTTCCGAGAAGATGCGATCATACAGCTCGACCACAACAACCGTGTACCACAAGTACATCGACAACGACTCTACCCACGATGTCGAGAACATGGGCAGCCCTGCCCGCGTCAAGGCAATGGACCGTGAGCGCGCTAGCAGCGCGTCGGGCATCCTGACCAAGGTCCGCAGCAGCAAGCGTGGCAACGAGTCGCCTCTCCGCTCCAAGGATGGTGTCCGCAAGACCAGCGGCCGTGTCGGCAGCATCAGCGGCGCACCGTCCTCGGCAACGGCGCGCAAGGTTTCCAACGGCATCTAGGGACCCGGTGGAAGACCGAAGCGTAGCGGAGGCCGTAGCGATGTCGTCTGAGGACAGCATGCTTAGCGATTGTTTGACTGAACATTCGAGGCTCTTTTGAGGCGTTTTTTTGCGGCGTGTCAGTTTTGTTCACGGAGAGCTTACGATTATGATGAACACGACACACGACCAGGCTCATGTGTTTCTGCATGCAGTGGCGTTGAGTTTTTGACAACCTTGGCAACGGCGGGCCGGAGAGAGGGGAGTGTTCCAATTTCTGTTTTGTGAACCGAGCGAGATACATCTAGGCTTGTGTGGCATGGCGTCTTGCATGACTTGGCATCATGCCACACATGGGGAGCGCGTTGTGATGTATCCGCAACGCATCGCGCTTTCTCCGTGCTTGTTCTTATTCTGCATGGGCGTTTGGGACTTTGGAGTTTCGGGGATTCGGAGTGGCGATAATAGCTTTCTGTATTACTGTCTGTACTTGGCTTAAGACACTTATTCGTTATCTTCCTTGTCGCTAAATGTTCGTGGTGTCTGGTTGTGTCCCTCTCAGGTTGATTCTCGTTATGCTAGACCTATCGGGGGGCTATTGGTACGACACGGCAGGTCCTTCCTCGAGTCCTATTATCATGTTCCCGGGTCGTTACGCAAAGCATCGACAATGACCAACGACGGCAGGCTTCTCACATCATGACAACCAAGATGAATGCGGTTCTGCTAACAAATAACTGCTCTTGAGGGAAAGTATTCTCGGGTCTTCGCCGTTGATGGGAGCTACATGCGAGAAACACCCGACCGTAGAGGTGAAGAAGGCTGCTCTTCCGGCGGCGTCTTGGCCGTCACGAAACTCTACAAACGACCAGGCTCTCCCGCCGCGAGGGCCCCGGTGGTTGAACAAGGCTCACGAGACTAGGGACCAGCTCAGTCTGCTGGGTGCTGGACTAACTCGCATTGGTGACTCGCATTACTTCTACGCGGGTCCCTTGGTTCATGGCCGAGTGGCGAAGATTCCTTCTTGTGAGGGTATCGTGGGATTTGTGGCTTCTG